TTAAGATATTAATCCGCGCCTTGACACGCGCTTCAAGATAGGACCAAACACATATACAGCTAAATTAAATTCTATTCCGAAACATGTGCATATATGTACGTTTTATTTGATGACAAGAACTTTTGAGACACCCTAGTATATCATTCTGGATTTCCTGGAAAGAAACGCGTTCATCCAGAACTTTTAGCGTCTCGGGCACATTATTTATATTTCGCGAAACCTTTTGATGCCGTTCTTCACAAGAGGTTGCGGGTAAAATTGGAACTGTTGATAGGTCACAAGTGTTGGCCCTCAAGACTGTCCTAGGACAGCTTCTGTTGTCTACATATTCAATTTGGATCTAGGCGTTGAATGTTTGATACACACATCGGTTTTTCTGATAGTGTTTTCCTTGTCAATTATGTCCATATTAGTCTCCCAAGCCAGAACAGAGTAACTAATTCAATAGACCATCTTTTGGTAAACTATGTTTAGATGAAAGTGGCTATGGATTCATCTATTTCTCTGATATCTCAGTTTACTTGGCCAATATTAAGAGGGGGGGGGGGAAATGAACATCGCCCCCACCAGTCGTTCTGTAGAGGGTCTCAAAATGGACATTATAACGTTAGGCTGAAAGTAAAAGGGGAAAAATTAATTTAGCACGAGCGGTTTGGGCTACGGCAAAGCGGTCCTGGTCTCAATCCACGGACAGAACAAGCTGTCAATGGGACGACTGATGACAAGCGAAAATGCAATGACAAAAATGACAAGGATTTAATATTAAAGAACAAAATTAGAAATGTCACAGTTACGCGTGGTGAGGTTTCGGTCGGAGGGGGAGGCTCACCGAAGGAAACCTGACTGTCACTGACGGGAGACGAAGGACGGCTTGACCGGATGTCACACGCACACCCCCAATACAAAGAAGGCTAACGGGCAAAAACCCTGACAGACTTGGGGTCGGGGGGCCCCTGTGGTCTTACATGGGCTAGGACTATTTGAATTTTTAATATTATCGACTATACGACAAGTGGTTTCTTCCAGCAGTCAGGTAAAATGGGAGATGTCGGTGTTGACCATATCTTTCCTCCCGTCAAAAATTTCCCCCTGAACGATAAAAATTGGGCAGGCACAGAACTCCACTGGTGGGAGAAAAATGTGTACATGCCACATTCGTCCCCCGTTGCAATATTTCCCTGTTTGCACCCTCAATTTGCAAGACACTATCGCCACAAGAATGACGTTCCAGATTTGATTTAATTTACATCATTACCACCTTTTCTCCCCAAATTTCATTTCCAGTGATAGTGCAAAAAAATGTAAGCCTAAACGTAACGTTTGGCTTGTAAGAAGTTTCGACCGATGGCTTAGCAAGTCTCGACTGTCATATTTTCCTAATTCGCGATTGCTCGCTATGGCAGGCTATCTTTAGGATGTGAACTGTATTGCTCGAAATACCACCCACTGAAACAAACCTTTTTTTCTCAAAAAAAAAAGTCTATCAGGGATCGTTTTCTCTGAAAATGTAGGCTTTATTCAGGTCATACGAGAAAGAAAATAGTGCAAATACAATTTAGCTTCCTGTACTGTATACACAAGTGAAGGTGGAATTCATTTGCCATAAACCAGGATGAACTTCATGTCATACGCCATGATTACTTTCTTTCCACATCCTGCAAAGGATCATCGGTGGTCCGTCGTCCCAATGTGGTTGCCCGCAAAAGCAATAAACTGGTACAGATTTGACCTTCCTCAGCTTATCACATCAGACACGACGTTACAGGTAGGTCACTGCAGATGAAAGGGCCTGCAATTATTGCCTTCCTGGTAGCATGGCGAATACCTTCCTGCTGTCAGACAATCGTTGAAGGGTCAATATTTTAGCAGATTGTAGTAGTGTTTGTTATAGCAAATGCCCCATAGTTTTCCCCCTCTCAGCGGGTGGATTATGGGGAATTCCACTAGAATAGCTGAGTCTTGGAGTATGTACCATTGCTGCAATTTGTCGCTGTAATGGAACTGGTAAGCTTGAACCTGCAGAATCATACACTTGAACAGTGTTGACATTGGTGAAGTGTTCGTTTAAGACACAAAGCCAATGAATGCTGTTTACGTTGCAGATTTGCACAAATTGGAAACTTTCTCAAGAAGGGGATTGCTCATGAAGACGAACTTTGATTAATCCATTGCTCCATTGCTCACTCCATTATTGAACAATCTCTCAGGATCTATATAAACTTATGTCCTGGGGAATTAATAGGTCCTGCCGTAGAACATAAACGGCATATCCCACAGAACCAGGTGTTAGTTGTGACTGTGATGATGAAGCTGGGGTATCCTCAGAGCATGGAAATGGGGAAATGGAACTTAAAGTGCTCCTTGAAAGCACGTTGAAATTTTAAGGGGGCAAGGGACTGGTCCTTGAGACCCTGTACGATGATGGGAAAGTCGTACTTCGGGAGAGTGGGCCGGTTGGGAAGAGGGTTGGAGGTCTTGGGAGATTTAGGTGGTGTTCGGGAAACAAGGGTGAATTCCCCATCTTCAGCATTATCGACTTTAGAGGGGATTTCTATTAGGCGGCCTAGATGGATTACCGCGCATTCAAAGCTCGAGTTTGGGGAGCAGGTAGAGCCTGGGGTGGAGGATGGGCTGGGTGGGGTATTTTCAAGGGAGTGGACATCTGACAGGGAGTTGGGAGAGAACGTTGGGGGCAAAGGAGATGAAGCTGGGGGGGGGGGGGGGGGTTTGGGGTGGGGGTCCCCCCCCCCCCCCCCCCCCACCCGATGCATCGATACACTATCGATAGTTCAGGTCGATGCATCGATGTTTTGAAAACTGCTATCGTGACAGCTCTAGAAAAAACCCACAAAACTGTTTCCTTCCTCACAACCGGGATCCACATGGATATGGTGAATGAATGAAAGTAAAAGAAACGGAAGCACAGAGACACTCACAACTGGTCAGTATATTAAAAAAAGAGGGGGGGGGAGTAAATCCAATGTTTTGGAAGCATAATGCCTCCTTCCTCAGGGAGAGAAAAATCTAGTTGAAAAATGAAAGAAAATAAAAAGTATAGGGGAAATAAAATGTGTTGATAACTAGAAAAAAAGTGTGGATCATTAATGGTAGAATAAAATAGAAAAGGTAGGGGTTTACCAAAAGGGTGGAACACAAACTGGGGTCATCTCACAACAGAGGCAAAAGGAAGAATGAGTCGGAAAAAGAAAGTGGGTGGGGTTGGGGTCAAAGGGAGTTCATGACCAGTTTTAGCATTCTTATCCAGAATGTTTTGTGCTACCTTCTATATGATGGTTCAGCTAGCTTTACTTCTCCAATTGGGAGGCTGAATAAATATGTATGTTGGTATCCTGGATTATTAAAAGGATTATTCTTTCCCTTTACATAATTGCCTCTTCCAATAGAGCCCTCCACTGCTCTGCATCTCGTGTCACATGTCATAGAGGCAATGAAAGCCTTTCTCTTCATTAGAGACTGGCATTATCTTAACATTGGCCTTCCCTAAAGCATTCATTTAGCTTGTGGATCATTACAGTTGATTCACGACTCTTAATCCCATGTTATGCATCATATCTGGTGATGAAGTGATAAATTGGGCATTCAAGTTCACAAAGGAATGAATTCCATTCCTTGCCAGGTAAGGTGAACACAGAATGGGTCATAAATTGTCACAGGCAAATTAGAACAAGTTGCTTCTGCTCTTTATGCCTCCTCATCCATTGAAAATCGTGAGTTAGTTTACCCTGAATACTAGGTTGCCCAAAAAGTTTCGTAATTCACAGGCCTACAGAGGGATAACAATAGATGATAATGAAAGGAAATGTTCATGAAGTGGCATAACATGAGTATGGGATTCCACAAACATTTCAGCAGAATTGATCCTTTTTCATGAAAGTTTTGGGAAATGACCTGCATTTGTGACACCAAGTATACAGGTATTTCCTAAAAATGCTTTAAATAGAGCTTCATCCATAGTTGTGTAAAGTCTGGAACTTCTGGGTCACCTGGTGCCTCATTCAATGTCTGTAGATGGTTTCCCAAAAATTTTTTTGAAAATTTATTTGAGACGTTGTTGGTTCCATGTGGATGGGATGATGGGAATGTCTTTTGGTGCTAATGAGAGAACCAACCTGAAAAGGATTGTCATAACGATTTAATGCTGGAAATAAATCTCTTGAGGCAGAATGACTTTACAAGATGTATGGATTAATTTCCCCAAACAGATCGATCAAGTTTCTCAAATTAGGTGGAGTAGCTTGAAGCAGGACCCAGGAAGGGCTCTATTTACTGCATGCATAGGATTTTTTAATATATATTTCCCATTCATCCAGTCCACCCTGATTCCTTATCATTTTCCCATCGATGTGTGATATAAAAGAACTGAGATTCCCCTACATGCAAATGTACAAAAGATCTACCCCTTCATCTTTAGAACCCAACAATAGATGATAAAAGCTGATTGCCACTGTTTCCTTCAAACATTGACCAAGAAAACTGTTTCTGTACTGTTAGATTCAAAAGCAATATGCTTAAATTTGTTAAGAAAACATTCTATGCTCTCTCTACTTTTGATTCACACAAAAACATTTTCAGGTAAATGCATGAGCTAAGAATACCAGGCAAGTTTCTCAAAGCTATGTGCACTTGTCAAAAATTCACCCACAAGAGACAAACCAGGTAAGGGTTAAGCTGAAAGGTGCAGACTGATGCTCTCATTCATATGACATTGCTTATAGAAAGAATCTCTTACTGACATTCTTAGCAACCAATTTTAGTTTTAAAATTTTGAACCTTCTACACGTGTTACACATAACACCCTGTACTTTTCATGCCAATACCTTATCAAGTATTTTGTCTATGCCATGTGAAGTTGGAACTTCTTTTTTTTTGTCCTCTTGGCACTTTATGCTGAAGCAAACTGTGTTGTCAGCCTTTTTGTCCTAAGGCCTTCATTCACTGAGTCTCTCACTTATCTTCTTACCTCTTGGTGCTTTCTCCAGATGGGTATTGGAAAAAGCCCTGAAGGAATGGAGCCTCTCACTGGGAGTCTTCTTGTAGAACTGAGTATCTTGGCACCTGTTGGTCAAGATGCAGTGGCAGAAGATCTCAAAGCCTTCGCTGAACAACTCAAACCTCTTGTCAACATTGAGAGGCTTGATCCAAGAAGATTTTCCCCCCTATCTTGATTGTGAATGAACATTCCCATGAAATGGCTGAGTTTCAAGAAAATCAAGTAGATACAGTGAATTTTATGCAGACAGACTTTGAATTCTTTAGCTGCAGTGAAATCAACTACTGTTGCATTGTGTTAATTGAATATAAAGCTTGACATTTTACCATTCTAGTTTAAGTTGTATGTTTTGTATGCAATTGTTTTGTATTCCCAATTTTGCATTTCATGAAAAATGCTTATTAGCACCTCCAATATCTCTTTAAGACTAATTTGCAATGCCTTCCAATGGTTTTCATGGTTTTTTCCTCATTTTAGCATGAGCAATTCTTCATTCCAGCCAGATATTACATTGTACTACATTATACTATTATACTATTGAATACTATATTATACTATTACTGTATTATACATGCACAGCCAACCTCTGACTTTGGTTCCCTTGTCCTATCAGTACAGGATTGTGAAATGAGTACCATCATTCGGCATTGTCACATAAAAATTCGCCGCAGGTCACTAACCTGCTCCAAAATTCCCTACATATGCAGAATAATCTGCAGTGAAATTCTGCTCCCAAGTTCAAGTCTGGGAATGAGTCAGTTGGAAATAAGCTTCATTCCCATTGTAGATCTTGGAGTGGGGGTGAATCATGTGGATTGTGAGCCTCACATTCATATACAGACTTACCAAGCTCACTTTTTTGGGCAGGTGCGGTGGTCTAGTGGTTTGAACGGTGGGATAACAATCCGTCAGACGGTGGTGACATGGGTTTGATTCCATGTGCAGCTATCCTCTGACTTTAGCTCCCTCATCCTGTCAAGACAAGATTGTGAAATAAGTACCATCTCTCAGCACCCTCACATACATTGTATTACATTATACTAAATATGAAAAGAAACAGATTTGTGGCATGTAAGGGTTTCATAGCCTAAGCATAATTTCTTCAAAATGACCTTTAAAACTTGAAAGTACTTCAGTCTTCCCATGAAATTCAGTGGTGTCCATTTTGAACTTATTTTCTTGTGCATCTATGTCCCAGGCTTGCCACACGAAAGAGAAGGCCCCAGGACTCCCATAGTGAGGGCATGCTAAAAAATGGCTTTAGTTTGGAGTCCTCACTAGATGCATGTGAATAGGCCCAACCCCATATCAAGCCAGCAAGAACAGACATTTCTATATTTTTTATCCCCTCCTCTCTTATCTTTTATTGTGTTCTCATAATGTTGGGTTGAGAGATTCAAACTGGGGAATACTGTGATAACACATCTGTTGAGAGCCAGTGGGCCATTCCTTGGCTATGGACAGGACTTCCTAGAGCACAATAGCTCAGTCAACAATATTAATTGAGTCAGAACTATTGAGAACCTAATGTATTTCGAGTGGAGACAGATTGAGTCCCAGTAAGTACAATATGTACACCTGTCATGCTCTACCTCTGCCAAGGTTGATGGTGGCATTTCAAATCTAGGTGTTGAATGGAGGAAAAAAAAGGACTAGGTAGCAAAGGAGCCACATAAGTTCCCTTACTACTTTCATGTTTTCTATCAGGAATTTTTTGCATTTACAGTATCTTTCATGGGTATTTACCATGAAAAACCAAAGCATCAACTTTTTATCCATAGAAACAAATCATCATCAGGGGTGCTCACATTTTCAAGAGTAATGGACTTGACACATATGGATAAGTAAACCTAGGTGCATGCTAACCCTTAAACGACCAAGCTGGGTCAAATTTGACCCAGAGCCTATGTTATAACACGCAAAACTTTCGAAGCTTGGTAGTTTAAGGGTTAAAAAGTCTGATACCATATGTTGCGTGTGTGACGTTTTCGTTGTAAGAGTGTGTTTTTTCAGGGAGGCCACATTGCACATGTGCACCTTTTATTCTCTTTGATTTATTCCTCTTTGGATCTCGTGTAAAATTGCAGAAATAATGTCTTAATGTGAGTATTTTCAACATAATTTAATGTCTTTCAGCTCATGGTTGCAAACGTCTCGTTTTCAATGCCAAAAAAACTTCAAAGTAATCTCAGCTGATGACAACCTGCAGTTTTGTGGCATTACAATGAAACTTCATTGATTTTATTGAAATTTTAAATTTTGATCATGGGTTGACGTTTTGGGAATGGCTCCTCTACAAGTTCCCGGGTCAAGGCAAATGGGAATAAGATAAGCATGAAATCCCCCAAGCAGTGAAGCATTCGCTCTCCTGTTGAAACAAAGAGAAAATCAAACTGTTTGAGAAGTTCTGGTGTTCAGGCTCGTTTATCTCACAAGAAGTGAGATTCATTATGGATGAATGGGAAGCTATTAATTTTAGTGTGATGCATCACTATTATGATGGGGTCCATCCTTGGTTCATCTTATGGATGGAGCTGGCACCAAGCATTTCCCCTTATTCACTTCTACACTGTCTGATTGGCGTATACTCACCGGTTTCTCATGACTTGATTTAAGCAAGACCTTTCCCAGACACTTGGTGCTTGCAACGTCTTGAAGGCAGAGAACTCGCTTCCTGAAAGTCTGTTTTCTCAAATCTGAAGTCATAGCTTTGTCGTTCAGGATAAAAATGTCAGAGCTGAAAGAGAACAAGAAGCACGTTCCGAAACAGCATGCAGGAATTACCTTGGAGCAGCCGCTTCCAATTCCCTTTGCCGATTTGACAGGAGTCCCCGCATCGAACAGCATTTGGAAATGGTACACGGGGACTCTCAGTCCATGTGGCTCTTCGGTCGCCATCAGAGACGAGGAAGCCTGCAAGAACGTTTCCAAGATGGGCTATTTTGGGTGTTTCCGATCGTCATTCGAGGGACACTGTGTGGAGCGAAAACTGTTGAGCGAGCGGACGTGGAAGAGAAGGGGAGACTGGGCCTCCCAGATTCGAAAAAATTCTCAAGGGAATGTATACGTTGCCAATCCTGACACCGACGATGATCTCGATATCGACAGCATTTCCGTGACGAAGGAGCGGAATCCTCTCGATGTTGGACGGGTGTTGCAGTTGAGCCCCGAAGAAGCATTTTTCCTTTCCTATGCCCTTGGATGCCTCATAGTAAAGAAAGACCAGTCGAATCAAGAGCTACCTCTGCAGGAACTGTGGACAACCTTCTCGCAAGATGCAGGATTTCCATTTTCCTACGCCGCCTATCATTTTTTGAGAGCAAAGGGCTGGGTTGTTAGACCCGGTTTCAAGTATGGAGTCAATTTCCTCCTCTACAAGCACGGACCTCCCTTTTATCACGCCACCTATACCGTATTACTGACGTCTAAGCATCATCACGAAACGTTATCCTGGCTTGATATTCAAGGACTCATGCGGCTGGCACTGAGCGTTGGCAAGGACCTCCTGTTGTGTCGAGTCTCGGAGCCATCAGGTGGCACGGCCACGCCCGAGGCAATCAAGGCCATGGAAATCTCATTCACAATTGCAAGGAGATGGGTATCATCAAGTGATCGTTTGAGGGACTGACGCTGCCACATCAGTTGACCTTTTATGCCTATCCTAGCATGAACTGAACAGTAAAGGAGTCTAATTGTTTTAAGGAATAAAAAGTATGTGGATAGGACTATTTCTGGACTGTTGCTTGAAAGATTCAGGGCCGATTGCATGAACGACGTTTTCCCGGTGTTTTTGGAAAATCATTGTTTAACAGATGTCCGAGGCAAAAAATAGATTGTAAGAATGCGTTCTTCCTTTTATCATGGTTTACCCAATGGCTAACAAAAGCTGATAAAGATGTCATTCTCAGGCAAGGGGTGGGGCAAATTTTACCGATACTTACATCAGCGCTCCTGTACTATCTTGATCAGTACAAGCGCTGCAGCGTATTGGTGAAGCACAATGGATTATCATTTTTTAAGGAGTGGCTCAATATCAGCGATGTGCTTGTCGTCGCATGGGACAAATAAACATCAGTTCTAGCATTATTCACTTTGAAGAATATGTCGATGAGAACTACGTGAGATGGCGATTTTAAAAGGGATCGGTGATTGATCTCTCGACCTGTTTCGCACTGAACTTGAAAGGAACGAAAATCGCGGAAGGGACCCTTTAACATCGACAGTTGAAAACAATTACGGTTCGTGTGTAATAAATCGTGATTTATTCACTTGCCCACCCACTGAGTAATCACCCGAAAGTGAAAAGAATGTCATGAAAGCCTTTCGATTTGCAGGTTCTGCCGACCCTTTTTTTTAATGCAACGTCTATTCCTAGAAATCGAGTTGCGCCACTCGATTGGCCATTGGTCATTTGCGTCCCTAACTCATATTCCCAGAAGGAGAAATGGACTAGATGTTCGAAGATAATTATTTGATATTGCTGGATTTCCAGGAATGATAGGCAAAGAGGAGGGCAAGGGAGGAGTTGGCCTTGTGAGGGCCATTGCAAAGGCCCTCACAAGGCCAACTCCTCTGCTTGCCCTCACTGAAGGGCAGCCTTGGAACGCATACTTATGCAGGAGCAATTCCGCAATACAAAATTTGCAAAGGAATTCCTTCCATCTCGATCGTCAGCACAGACACCTCCTCGAAATGTAGAGCACTTCCCACCCCTGCCTATCAGCCCAAGGACTTTGTCAACTGCAACTACCCCTGTCATTGCGCAGCATGCAGGAAAGCAGCCTGGCTCTTCTGCCCTTACTCAGACAGAAGTACCTGCCACCAGGCATGTTACAAAGCAGCACACTCCAAATCCTGCTGCTTCAGAGTCACGCCCACGGCACTCTGGTATCCTCAATCCCCGTGTATGGGAGCATATCCATTCCCCTTCTTGCACACAGCCAGTCACGAACAATGACACACCCTTACCCATAGACCAGTCTACTCCCCACACAGCACAGGGATATCCCAGGGATGTCCCTAACTGGACGACTTGTCCCCATGTCTTTATAGGATATCCTGAAGACATCTTCTTTCGGACAGTTTCGGACATCTCGTAAGGGATGTCTTCGGGACGTCTTTTAGACATCTTCAGTCGATATCTTAGAGATATCCCGAAAGGGATATCTTTAAGACATCCTTAAGTCGAATGCTTCTGGATATCCTGGAGGGGATATCTTGAAGATATCTTCAGTCAAACACTTTTCGATATCTTGAGGAGGATGTCTTAGGGACATCTTAGGGATGTCTTTAGGCATCTTCAGTGCTCTCTGTCGCCTTCAGTCAGGTGCACAGCTT